GTTCTTACGTACGGACGTATTTAGGTTTGTTCGTTTAATTTTATTTTGTTTTAAGTTTTTTTAAGGGAAGTTAACTTTTTTTTTCGGGTTTAGGGTAAGTACCGTGGAAGTAAGTTAGTTGACTATTGTTTGTAAGTAACTTATTCGTCGTAAGGAGGACTTTCTAGTCTATTGTGTTTGGTTTTTGTTTTTTTCTTCGTGTACGTCCTACTGGTAGAAGCGGTACGTTAACAATTAGTTAAGGTAGTAAGGAAGTAAGGACCTAACTTTAGGTGAACTAACGTTGGTAGGAGTACAGGGACGGGTCCGGTACGTACGTAGGAGGGCCGACAGTAGGAGAGTAGAGGAGGGTAGGTGGTGGGGGGGGGGGGGGGTTGGATAAAGGATTAATGCCACTTTGTGATCATGCACTTGGTATTTTTGGAGTGGAGGGTGGAGGAGAGGCCCAGGGCAGGGCTGCTGTGGTGGAGATTTCAGTTTCTCTCATCAGCCCTGATATTAACCTCCGTTTAAATCCAGCGCCACCGCCTCCTTCTCCCTCCTGCTATCCATCATCTGTGAGCGTCTCAAAATCACGCCTCTGGCCTCCTCTCGGGTGTGTCTGACTGGTAACCAGTAGCTTTCCAAAATGGCTAGTTTTGCATGAAGTAAGTGTTTGTATGATATGTTGAGTGAGTATTTTTATTTCTTATTTTATATTCTCATGTCATCTCTGTTTTTTTACAGCTGTATATATATGACTGTTAAGGGATTATGGCACGTCAGTGCTTGGTCAGCGGTTTATATGGGAATGTTGTCACCCACATGCTCTTGTTTTAAGAGTCCTATTGTTCTTGGTTTCCTCTCTATTGTTTATGATGTACAGAATGTGGCGGCCACAGCAGCCCGTCAGCACTATTTCGGTCTAGATCAGAGAAATTGGAACCCTTAGAGTGAGTCTCATCACTCTTAAAGCCATGTTTTTATTACTTTAACATATCATGAGTTAGTGAACAGACATCCTGTCATATCGCCTGCCCTTACATCTTTATTTAAGCTCCTCATACCTGCTCTCATTTAAAAAGAACACAGCGACCAGAAAGTATTTTGCTTTCCCTGGATGATTTGCTGTTTTCGTTTGGCCTGTTTTTATATTATCGTAACAAGAGCAGAACTAAATCAATAGAAAACGTGCAGTGATTGCATGTTACAGAGGCTGCTATGACCAGAACATGTTCATCAACTCATGCTATCTTTGCTAAAAAATATTTCTACAATAATGCTGCTTTAAGTATCCTGATTCCATATCTCAGTTATTCCTCTTAATTTCAAATCACTATTATTGCTGAATGAATGGTTAATGTAGTGGATAGACTGCACTTGTATCCAGTTATTTCAAATCATGTTCATCAGTGTGTACAAGAGGGCCAAAAAGTGTCATTTAAAAAAAAACGTATAAAGAATTGTATCCGTCAGAATTACTGTCAGTTATTTTTTATGACCTGCCCAATTAAAACGTTAATTTATACAAGAAGGCTTTTTTGTTTGTGTTTAAAAATTACACTTTTACAAACATTCATTGTTTTGTTTAGTAGAAGAAGCCATGTTAAAAAAAATGTTTCTTTTTATTATTGAGACTTATTATTAATAAATCTGAACCCAATAGAATCCATTGATTATTTCTCTCATTCTGTGTGTCTCAAAATGCAGCTTAACTTGATATGAAGACTGATTTTGTCAAGCAGGTTACTAATGTATCTTTTCCTTGGTCATTTGTCAGGTGTCGTACATATTCCATCCAGTAGATGGCAGTATATATTCACAGCGTTGCAGATTCAGTCAGAAATGCACTTGGACATGATGAGCAAAATGAATACAGTATGTTATGGTGTTGAGGTTTAAAAAGAAAGATTATTCATCAATTAATTGATTATGTTTTAAATTGTTGATTTGTAGAAGCTGCAGGTGTTATAATAACCTTCAAACAGGTTTTAAAGTAACTCCATATTTGACCATCTATCATGTTGCTATACCTCACTAATTTATTTATTTTTAATTTAATCGTGTTGTATTTTCTTGATAAGTTAGTTGACTACCCTGTCGCTGAACAGAACAAAAGGCTCCACATCTATTCATGTTCTCACAATAACAGGATTTTTACAATAAGAGCTTCTCCTTTATGATTTAAGTGCAATGAATCTTATCAAGGCAAGGGAGCCTCATGATGTCATGTCAGAAGCTAATACCTCACCACTGACTCACGAGCACTGTTTTTGAAGCAAAAAAACATGGCACCGACCTGGCTGCTCCAATCCAATGTTTTGTAAGACTCTTAACCTCAGTATAATGAATACAGTGTTCTCTCTGGACTCTTTTGAAGTTACAGAGCCACATTTCATCAAGGAGCTTTGTCAATGCCGAGTGCTGCAAGAACCAAACATCACACTTTGGAGTGGATTCGAGTAAAAAAATGTAGTTACATTTTTCAAAATGTTTTGAACTAAAAAAGGATTTGTATCAGGCTCAATAAATAGTTATCAATAGATAACATGAAAAAACACAAGGTTTAAGTAAACAGCAAACAGAGTTGATATAATAATAATAATAATATATCCTGTTGATATAAAGGTCACGCCAAGATTAACCCATAAGAACCCGGACCCATTTCTACTTTTGGGGAAATTAAGGGGAACATCATTTAGACTAAATAGACCACCAGAACACATTTCTGACAAGTAACCCCTCCTCAAATATCTGAAATGTGACATGAGCACTGAGCAGATCATAATAATATTTCTAATTGTGCATATATGTCACTTTGGGTTTACTGTGAAAGTTTAGGGTTAAAGTCCCGATGTGACACCAGTGTCACAGCGATGTTTGTCTCATTTGTTTCATATCAATTTGATCAAGAAATGTTTCCACAACAGGTTAAATGTAATGAGGGAAATGTTATGTAAGCATTTTAATTCTTAAATGGCTTGAATTTTACCTTTAGCAACAAACAAAAAAGCTTTTGAAATGTAGCTAGTTCTGTCACATGTGTTAGTCTGGCACATGGACATGTTGTTATGGGAACACAACATCACATGACCTGGACCATGACCCACCAGACTGTTCAGGGTGTGTCACTTAGGGACTTCATGAGATAAAATAAAGGCTAAAGCTGCATAAGGAACTTTACAGAACATTTAAAGTCCATGTGACACCCGTGTCACGGTGGGTCCCTAAGGCACACTTACAATATGAAAGAATGAAATGGCTGCAAGAAGGTTACAGTAAATTATTGTAAATAATATTGTTATTTAGAGGAGATATGATGGTAAAAGCATGGTTAAATATCCAGTTATATAGTTTATGTTCAATATAGCTAATATCTTACTGTTTCTCCATGAGGTAACTATTGTCTTCCTGCATTATTGTTTCACCATAAGATATTCAATAGATCATTTAGGAATTTACCAAGTAAATATGTTGACTATTTGCTTCTTCCAGTTCCTTGAAAATAAGGCTTTATTAGTTTTTTGTCTGTGGCATGTTAGGGTAATTACCCTGGGCTCTGTGAAATTGTGACTTGGGTTTTTTGTATCAATTATAGCAGCAGCGATTGTTCCATTGACAGAAAATAAATTGGCAGCTATATTGATAATGCACATGATATCTTTGTATGCAGGCTGTGAAAAACTAAGTGGGCCTTATAACAGGAAGGATAGTGTGCTGCTGCTGTTGGGGTCATCACAACACACACACACACACACACACACACACACACACACACACACACACACACCCCGTCCATTCCAGACACAATGAGGAAGGAAGGCTTCATCTGTTTTTTCCACATTGTCAGTCAGTGGGTGCAGGGCAGAGGAAGTGTGGGACGGATGATGATCCCTCTGAGACCGAATGAAATAAGAGGATGAATAATGGAAGATGTCAGGTCCACGTGTTCACCAAGTGACCCCAGAGTGAAAACAATATGCTGATTCGAAAAACATGTCTCCTGAGAATGTGTGATGGGCAGCTAAAACAAGTATTGTATTTTCTCAATATGGCGAATGCATGCAATATACACCACATAGAGCTCATGCATTCAAATGAGATGTATGTTTGCCAGGATGTTGCCTCTGTAAGTATTTGTCTCTCTATCAATGTGTGTTTTTAGTTAACGCTCCGCTCCATTGGTGCTCAACCAACACAGATGATGGTGGGGGTCTCTGGTGCTGTCTCACTGCCCGCTGCTCTCTTCCTCCCAGCATCCTGTTCACATTGTGTCATAAACATGTTGAGGCAGCACCCCCACATGCCTCCCAGCCACCCCACAATGGACCCCACCTCCACCTGCAGACTAACCCCTCTGCCTGGTCCCTTCCTCCTGCACAGACCCACACTGGCTTTCCTGTTTTTAAATCCCTCTCTGGGATCATACATAAACAAACTGTGGGCACAGATATCCGCCAGATAGATATGTTCAATAACATCACCACTGCCTGGTCTATCCCCTGTCTGGTGCAGATTACTTTTAATCCTGAGGAGCTCTAATCGGAAATGAGCCGTATGAGTCACAGTGCCCCTGCAGAAATGGAAAGACGATCAGCCTAGTTCCATTAGCTGGTTAAATTGTTTCTGTGATAGGCGGAGAGGCAGCAATTGGCTGCAGGTCAGTGGGTCTCCTCCGCCTCATTTCCTGCCCAGCGGCTTGTAGGCTCCAACACCGGAGAAGAATGAAACCCTGACTCACACTCAGAGCCACCTTCCTCTCTCTCGCTTCCTCTTTATAACTTTCTTCCCTCTTGTGGGCTAATCCAGTCGGATAAGAGCAAGCTCTCCTCACCATGTGGCCTCTTTAGCCTGTGGAAAGTAAAGACCTCTGAAATCACTCTGCTGGAGCCTCACTGCCAAACTCTGTTGAACATCAGCAATATGAGTATGTGAGAAAACACAGTTTCCACTTGTGGAGGCTATTTTTATATAACATTAGAATGACTGATTCTTATTATT